ATAGTGTCTGGTATGGATCCTAAAGCCGTCTGCTGCGTGCCAAGTGCATGAGGTAGGGCACGCTCTTCCCCGTTGGGGAGTGGGGTTCCTGCAGAGCGGAAGGCTGCATAGTGTCTGGTGTGGAGGGACAGGCACCAAACGGCCTGAGGCGTGTGTGTGCGGCAGACGGGCTGTGAGTCCGTACTCGCTCAACAGAGGCTGTGACCAGCCCTCGGCATTCCCTGAGTGGAGGGGGGGATTTGGCACCCACTTCCCAGCTGTCTATTTCTCCTCTGCCTCTCACTGGCAGAATTTGATGTGTAAGCCTTGAGGAGAAGACGCAGGTCCTGCGGCCCAGTGAGAAGGTGACCGTGGCCTGCCGTGAGGCTGGACATGGGGTGGGCTGGGTCCTGGAGCATGCCGACCCTGTGCTGAAGGTCGGTCTGAGTGTTCACCTTACCCGGGGGATTGTGTGTCGTCTCTGGTCGTGTGGGCACAGTACATTCACAGTGGCAGCCCTTCTTCTTCCCAAGGAATGTAATGGTTAGGAGTTGGGTTCCAAAGATTGTTCAGGGATGTGTAGCGGAGAAGGGGGGGAGTGTTGGTTCCACGTGGGATCTGGATGCTGGCCACCTGACACCCCAGAGGTTTGATGTTAAACTTGCCTCACTCCTAAGCTTTGGGCCCAGTGGGATGGCTCCTCTAGAACTTCCTTGGGACTGATAGGATGGAGGTGGTTTCCATGTTAATCTTTGGGATGACCCCACCCGGACCCACCTAATCCTGGGTGGGGCCCAGGGGTCTCCTCTCCTCCCACACCCTTGTGACCAGTGGTCGTAGTAGGGCATATTGGTCTGGGATACTCCATAGGTGGGACCTGGAAGGGGCCAAGAGCTCTGCGTGGGGAGTAAGCAGAGTACTGCCTGCCTGTGTCTTCTAGGTGTCCACCATCCCCTGGGGTAGAGGGCTCGGCTATGCCCCATGTTTGCCCAGGGAGCAGTATCTGTCCACACGGGAGCAGCTCTTTGACCGCATGTGTACGATGGTGGGGGGACAGGGTGGCTGAGCAGCTGTTTTTTGGGCAGATCACCACCGGGGCTGTTCAGTGCCTGTGACCTTGAGGAAGGTCACCCAGAGCACCTCTGCCCAGGTAAAGGGCAGCCACCCTAGTGGGGGGCTCTGCATGGCTGAGTCCCTCCAGGCTTACCCCCAGCTCCTTACTTCCAGATTGTGTAGTTTGGGCTGAGTTGAAAAGCTGGGACAGGTGTCCTTTGACCTCCCCCTCGACAAAGGCGCGATGCTGGTGAAGCCACACAGTGAGGCCACTGCCCAGCTCATGGATGAGGAGGTGTGGCTCCTGTCAGCTCCGCCTATCAGCAGGACCTGGACCTGCTGGCCTGGTGCCAAGAGCAGGTGGACAAGGTGAGTGGGGTGGGTCCTGGCTTGGGGCACTCCCATCCTCACGGGATGGTGGGTTTGGGGTTTGCCTTGGGCAGGGCCTGCTGTTCTGGGAGCAGCTGAGTGACAGGCAGCTGTGATTTCTAGGTGGGCAGGCCGCTGCTGGAGACGGAGGTGCTGGAGGAGGCCGACATGGTGGAGCTGTCGGGGCCCGGGCCTTTGCAGAGAAGTCCACCCATGAGGAGTTTGTGGAAGGCACCGGCAGCCTGCAGGAGAACGTGTCCCTTCCTGAGGGGCGGGAGGAGGGGACTGCAAAGCGCCACCTGCAGGAGAGCCCAGCTAGGAAAGCTCCTTCCAAAATCACTGGAAAACAAATTAAAACATGATAACAGCAAACGGGTGTTTTAGATCTGGGCAGTCAGACCGCAGCCCTAGAGGACGGGGTCCCCAGTCAGAGGGGCGGGCAGTAGGCCCCCAGGGAGAGCAGCGGGCGAGTGTCCTCCTGGTGGGGTTTTGAGTTTGGACCTCCAGCTGAGGAGCTGGAGGAGGCCTCCCACAAAAGGAGGTGGGTGGTGGGTGGATTTGGTGGGCAGGTGTGAGTGCTGGTCTATTTAGTCGCCCCAAGGAGAGGAGGCTTTGGCTCAGTTCAGAAATTCTGAAGGTTTAGTTAAGTGGTAGAATTAAGAAAAGGGAAATCTAAGCTAGTTATCAAGGGAAGGTGTTAGGTTTTTACAGCAGCTGTTTGGGTTGGTGGAAGGCCTGTCAATGGTTCTGGAGGAAACTCAACACTTCCCACAGGTGTGTGGTTGGGGGAGGGTAATGGAGCCATGGGGGCCCCGAACCACTCCCACTGCCCCCCCAGCACCCGAGCACTGCTCTGAGCACAAGGGAAGCAGTTTCTCAGCCAAAGCAGCACCTGTTCCCTGGGTAGGCGGCTTTGCCGACGAGGGTGTGTCTGGATTCAATTCCCTTCTCCAGCAAGCCATGTACCCTGCCACCCCCTTTCGTTAGAATCACAGAGGGGGCTCCGGACTGATTTGAGATCCCCTAGGTTGTATGTGGAGAGCCCTGTTGTCGCTGCCCCTGGTAACGCTCTTCCTGGTGTTGGGGAGCTGCCAAATGGAAGAAGGCCAGTTCTGGGTTGTGAGCGCTAGGACTCTGATGCCGTAGGTTGGCTGGTTGGTCTTGGAGCATGGCCAGGGCCCGGCCCGGCGAGCTGGGGTCACGACTGGCCTGGGGCTCAGGGGCAGTGTCCTGCTTGTTCTCCACGCATCCTGCCTCCCAGAGGTATCAGAATCATGGCAGTAGAGGGCTGTCAGCCCTCGGGTGGGTGGGTGTCCGGGACCCCTGTTGCTCGGCGCATCCTGGGAAGGGGGTGGTTCCGCTTGCTGTCTCATAGGATCTCTGCTCTCTGCTTGGCCAAGACCAGACACTGGGACTTGTTTAAAAACTCCGTTGTACTCAAAAATAGCATTTCCAACGTGGGACAAGCACTTTCGACTTTTGTTGTTTGTAAAACGTGCCATTGTTGAATTTTTTACATCTCCAGAGCCCATCCTGTAATGAAGTCCCCACTAAACCCAGTCTTCGTTAGCTGAGCTGCGTGGGGACCTGCCAGGGTCCTGTCTCGGGGCTCCCTCTGACAGAGGGGAGGGTGCTCTGTGGTGTCCAGAGCCTGGGACCTGTTCATTTTGAGGCTTGGCACAGTCCCTCTCTGGGGTCCGGGGCATGGTCTCAGCACACCTGGGTGCTCCCCAACCCCAACCCCTGCTGTTTCTGGCCTTGGATGCCCTCGTGCTCACCTCCCCCGTCTCCTCAGCTCTTCCCTTCACCTGTTTGGGCCATCCAGGCACATACTACACAGGCCCAGGGACAGAGGAGACCTGGCCTGGAATCTTCCACGTGGGAGGCTCAGGCTTCCCTCCAGAGAGCCCAGTGGGAACAACTGCCTGGCATGGGGCCCAGGGCCTGTCTTCTGGGCCCCTTGTTTCATGGGTAATCCAGAGGATTGGGATTTTGGCCTCACCCTTGGCCTTCTCCTCACAGGCCTTACCTACTGGTTCTCTTCTTGTGACAAGCTGCTGCTCTGGGTCTGGAGCTTCCTGGGAACCTGCCTGGGCTGGAAAGACTCACCAGAGTGCACCTTGTGCTTTTCCGGGCCTGGGCTTGGGGTGGGGGACAGGATCTTCACTTCCTAAGGCCTAGAAATCCAGGGCACTTGTCCCTGAGACATGGCCCGCATGAGCAGCCCAGAGGAGCCCCCGGTGGCTTCAGCTGGAGGAAGACCAGAGCAGGCTCCTAGAGCAGCCAACCCCACCCCCACCCCCCAATACACACTGCTGAACGCTGGTGTCACCTGGAACGGAAGAGACCGTGCTTGGGCCTTAGGAAGAGATGAGATTTTAATCTGATCTTGTGTAAATATTAAGCTCTGCAGAAGGAAGCCGTAGCAGGAAGGCTTGGAGATGGGGAGCATGATCCTGGTGGGTGGGGTGGATGGGGCATGCAGCTGCCCTTAGGGGAGTTGATTTTAAGTGAACTTCGGGGTGATGCCTGGTAAACATCCCTTGAGTTGGGGCTCATCATATAGAGGGAGCAGGCACCGTCCCTCAGCATTTCTGAGGCCTGTTTTCTCGGCGGGGAGCTTGCCTCTAGCTGCGCACAGCGGGCCTAGGGCCACGCCCAGGGCTACAGGAGAGCAGGTGTTCCTTCCCTAGAAATGTTTTGAGTGCGGAATGGGTCAGGGCAGGTTGGCCTGGGGACCAGAAGCAAACTTTCACAATTATTTTAAAACTGTTCTTGGACTTGCTGTCAGAGCAGAGCCTCTTCAGTCCCTTAAGTCATAGAAAGCAGCAGTGGGAGCAGCTGAGCCTGGTGCCCTTAAGTCGGGGGCTGGGGGGCCGTGCCGGGGTCCCCTCATGTTCCCAGTCTCCCTCAGGCTGCACTACCCCAGGCCAGGACGCCATCTAGGGGCACAGGCCTAGGACTGTGCATGCCTCTGTGTGCGTTTGCGTGACAGGCTGTGGGGGTGTGTCCCCCTGCCCTCTCCCCCCCACCCATGGTCTGAGGCAGTCGTGCGATATTTGGTGTTCTGAGCTGAGGACGGTGGGCTGGGCTGTCACACAGGAGCTAAGACAAGCAGGGTCTCGGGGCCCGGGTAGGAGGTCCTGGTGCCAAGAAGAGGATGGGATCGAAAGGAAGGTGGCGTTGTTGAGGACGGACTTCCCTACCCACATCCTTGGCTGGGTAGCAGAGCATCCCATGGGCCGGAGCGTGGTGTAGCCATTCCCAGACCGGAACCCTGAGATCCTCGGGGGTTTTGCAGAGAAGCTCTCTCTGGCTTCGGTCACCCTTACCCCACACCCACTTGGGAATCTTGTGGCAGAGGAGAGCACCAGTCTTGCAGACAGAAGTTTCCAAGAGGCCTAGGCCACTCCCACCTCATCCTCAGGCGCTGTGGTCCCTGATCAGGGACGGGAAAGGAGCGGGGACGTAAGGCCACTGGGCTGTGCTTGTGCTGGGGCGCCCCGAGAACCTGGCCCAGAGCCACATGGAGTGGGCAGAGTGTCCGTGGGGTCAGAACTGTCCAGATTTGCACTGCCTTGGCCCCTAGGCCAGCTGGCCTAGTCCTCCTTGGGCCTCTCCACGGTGAGAAATGTGTCCACAATTGCTGGCTGGCGCTCCGGGTCACCAAGCGGTTGCTTCTCTCGGTTCTGCTCGGCCCTGGTTCGTGTCCAGGAGGGGGAGCGCAGACAGCCGGCCCGGGGCAGTGGGTGCAGGCCTGACGGGAACACAGGGGTCAGGTCACTCCTGCTGCTACTGGGCTGGGCCTGTGTATGCCTGGCCACACACTGGGGTCCCCTGGACGCTTAGAAAACACAGATGCCAGGCCACCAGTAATGTGGACTTGTGGGTCCGGATGCAGCCCTTGCAAAGGCTTTTTTGATGGCCCAGGGAGGGTCCCTGTGCAGCCGAGACCACACCCTGGGTGTGAGCCTGGCCCCAGCAGCCAGCTGCCCCCTTCTCCTCCCAGGGTGCAGGCCCTACAGGGCCGGGATCTGAGCACCCCCTTCCCACCCCCACCTGCACAAGGTGTGAGAAGGGAGAGAAGAAGGTCCCTGGGTCCCCATACCCCCACTGGCGGTCTTGCCATTTCTGGGGCCCTTGACGTCTGGGGCCAAGGGCAACACTTCCTCAGGAACCGAAGGGGAAACTAAGGCTTGAGCTGTGGAGCCAGGGCTGATGAAGGCCACCCCACTTTGCTTGGCCTAACTTGTGATTAAATTCCCATGTAGTAAATTTTGCTTTTGATGGGGACTATTACTTTGGCCTTTTGTTGGCATTTGGAAAGGAAAATTGAGCAAAACAGAAAAATTCCTTGAAGGTGGACAAAAATAGACATGTAAAATGCAAAAATACTGAATGAGATGGTGCAGTCAGAAGCACCAATTTTGACACACGTGTGAGAATATTATTTTGAAAAATAAGGGTTGTGGAGAGCCGTGTTCCATGGGCTGGGGCCCCAGAACCGCCCCACAACACTCGCCATGCCCCGACACCAGCCCACCTGCTGGCGGTTCACCGGCCAGGCTCTCGTCGTCTGAGTCAGCAAAGACCTCGGCCAGCTCCTGGTCAGACATGTCGGTCAGCTCGGTGAGGTCCAGGAGGTCAAAGTGTACCTCCAGGGAGGAGACGCTGCTCAAGGGCTCTGCAGGGCGGGTGGAGGGGGGTTGCTCATAATGGGCATAGTCTGTCCACCCAGGGCAGGGACCTGGGAAGGGACCACCTTCCCTTCCCCTGCTGCCACCAAAACCCCGGGGAAGAACCAGAGCTCTGGGTAGAGCCCCGTGGGGTCAGTGTAAGATGGGGCAGAACCCCCATCCCCCCATCGGCTCCCCACACTCAAGACTGAATGCCTTCTGGGTCCCCCATTTTGCAGATGGTATATAGCCAAGGCCACAGAGCCCGAGCTCTAAGAGCCCAGATGCAGCGCCCCTCCCCCCCACACACCTGGGGGAGTGTTTGGACAGGATGTGGACCCGACCCTCCATTCCCCGGGGGCTCATGGTCCCTGCAGAGTACATGCAGGTCAGCTGTACTTACGCCTCCTCTCTGTGACCTGCAGGAGCCCCGGGGCTGGTATTGGGATGCCCACCTCCTCCTCGGCCGTGGGTGAGCGGTAGCTCTCCCCTGCCCCGTGGGCCAGGGTGCCCAGGGCTGCCTGTGGTCCCTCCACCTCCTGAACGGCTTCTGCAACAAAGACAGAAGGTGTTAACCGGGAGGAGAGATGCCGGTGGGGAAGACGGGAGTCCGTGGCTCACTGAGCCCTCCTCTGAGGCTCTGGGCGGCGACCAGGGTTGCCTGGGGTAGTCTTGGGCTGGGTTCCCAGACAAGGGCCACTGGGTGGCAGGAGGAAGGGAGTGTGCAACACTGTCGTCTGTCTCTACTTTCAGGTCCAACCAACCGTCCTGTGGTCACTTTTGCATTTCCTTGCCTTTTGGGTCTGTTTGATCCAGAATGGCCCCTGCTTGCCTGTCTGTCCTCTGTGGATGCACTTATAAGAACTCACGTTGTTCTGTTTGAATGCATAATGATTTATTTTCATAGTAAAAGAGACTGGGGGATATTCCTCTAGGTTTCTTCTATGTAATTTTTTTGGAAAGATTTATTTGCTCATTTTTTAGATTTGACAATTTTTTTTTCAGTTGAGAGCAGTAGGCCCTGGGGGCAATCTGCTTGGTAGAGACTGCCACTCAGAGATGGACCCCTGCCCCATAGAAGCGCCAACCCCACCCTTCTGTTGGTTGGGCCAACACTTTGACCTCTTAGCTCACATCCCTCCATCCAAATTTCCTACCAGTTCCTCCAGAATGTTCCAGAGCCCATCCACATCTCCCCCTCCTGCTGCCTCACCTTGTCACTCCCCAAACGCAGCCAGAGAACCTGTCAGGCATGTCCCCTGAGGCAGCTGGATCCCTTGGCTCCCCCATGCCCCCATTGTGGACCCATAAAGAGTGAACAGATGCCCTCCGGCTCCCCTCAGCAGTGCTCTGTGATGCACCAGGGTCTTGTCTAGGGAAGCCCAATTGGGCCTCTAGCGCTGGGAGCTGCCTGCCATGGGTGGGCCTTTCAACAGTGCAGTCAGCAGCCAGGATGCTGCCCAGCAGGTCCCGTGTCTAAAGGGTCTCCAGCAAAGTGGGAAGATAAGCCATCCATTCACAGCTGTAGAGCTGGCTGGGCAACACCTGGCCTCCTCTAGGAGGGCACCACCCTCCCTGGGAGGTGTCGCTGAGGGAAGGTGGGCCTGGGGACCTGCCCATGCTGTTCATGGGGTTTGGGGCTGGCCAGGCTGGACGGGGCTCAGGGGATCTGGTTTCCACTTCTCTGATGCATTTGGAACGTGACTTCTGAGTATCCTCGGAGGGTAGAGTTACACCCACCACTGTCCTGGCCCGCCCAGCCCAGCAAGGACACCTTCCCACCCAGAGGGCGCGAGAGATGTAATTCAGACCCTGCTCTGAGCTGGGGTGAGCAGGGGCCCCTGCCTTGAACCTCTCCATCCATCCCTGTCGAGAGTCCTCGAGGAGCCTTTACTCTGTGGGACTTGGGAACCTGCTTTGTTTCCTTGAGTGGGGAAGTACAGCACCTGGTCCCTCTCTCTGAGGCTGTAGGACGGGCTCACATCACGCTGGCCTGTGCTGTCATAATTGTGAGATGCTTCCATGCACATGGCCCATGGTGACAGGTGAGGCAGGGGGACACGGTAGGGGATACACATCACACAGATGCCATCAGGACTTTGCTACTCTGGGAGAAGCTGCCGAAGGGTTTTGAGCTGAGTAGGACAACATCTACCTCCATTTTTAGGAGATGCAGGCTAGGGGGGAAGGATGAAGTCCACAGATGTTGAGACAGTACAGGGTGAGGGGCAAGCACCACTATAGATGCTGGGGTTCAGGGGTCTCGGACGGCCTAGATTGTCGCACTAACTGTTAAGAAGCACATTTTGACAAATGTCAACATCCCTCAAAGAGCCAAGCATCTACGGTTGATGGCATCATGGATGATGGATAAACAAAATGTGGTCCATCCACACAAGGGGATATTACTCAGCCTTAAAAAAGAAAGAAAGCACTGACACAGGCTACAACATAGAGGAGTCTTGAAAACATTATGGTAAGTGCAGGCAGCTGGTCACAAAAGGCCATGCATTATGATAACATTTATATGAAATGTCCAGAACAAGCAAAACCACAGAGAGTAGAAAAGTAGATTAGAAAAGACATAGACAGTAGATGGTTGGTGGTTTCCAGGAGCTGGGGTGTGTGTGGAGTGGGGGGTAACTACTAACGGGTATGGGGTTGCTTTTCAGGTTGATGAAAATATCCTAAAATTAGATGGTGGTGGTGGTTGCACAATTTTGTAAATATACTAAAGGCACTGAACCTTATGCTTTAAAAGAGTGAATTTTATGATAAAAGAAATCCTCAGTGGAAACAAAGGTTGATTTTGGATGGAATTGAAGGGCAAATCCAGGAGGACTTAAGACATCGACTAACATTTGCTGTGCACCTACTATGTGCCAGGCACCAGGCTCAGAGGCTGGGAGTCGGTAAGAGAAGTGTGACCTCTAGGACCTAGGCTTGGTCCTGGCACACAGTAGGTGCACCATAAATGTTTGTCCAGTGAATGAACAAGCCCAAGACCCCACCCCATAGTTTCTAAGTGGCTGTGCTAGGAATCACCTGTCTGTGGCTGAGGCCCACAGCTCTTCCTGGGGTAGGAAAAGGGAGTGATTGCAGAAGCAGGCAAGGGGTGGGGGCGCTTGGTGCCAGGCTGAGCAGGGGCACCGGGGGCCAGGCTGTGGGGTAGCAACACCGTGATTCTCAGCGCAGCCCCCATCAAGCCCCTGCAGGGGCCACTGCTGCCCTGACCTGTGCAGGCAGCAAAGAAGTGCCCCATGGGGACTGCAGTTACCACAGTTACCACAGTTCTGCCCCCAGCACCGACGGCTGATGTGAGTGGATATGATAGGGTTACCTTGCACTAGGCTGCTGACCTATTTTCTGGCACATTTGTGTGAGAACTTGGCCCAAATCTTAAGTTCCCTGCTGTGTGCCCTGGGCCTTGCCCTAAGCATTGAGGAGGTGCTCTGCATGAACAGATGAACAAATTAATGAAGTGAATAAATGAATATCATATACAACAAAAAGGCAGCGGGGAGGCAGAGATGGTCACAGAGATGGGCACCTGTACGCCATTTCCCTAGCCCCTTGTCCTTGCATGTCGAGGATGCCGGGTGGGCCGTGCCAAGGCACAGCCTCCTGAGTGCAGGGCCGTGGCCCCTCTCTCCCTGTGGCCGTTCGGACAGACTTGGAGTTGGGTGGGTCCAGAACCTTGGTTTACCAAAGGTCCCAGTTGGGGCCCTTCAAGAAGCGCACTTCCTTCTCATCTCCATGTCTGCACGCTTTGATATGAAGAAATTACTGCTAATTTGTTTAGGTGCAAAAATGGGATTTTCATTATGCTCTATGAAAACCTTATCTTTTAGAGACATTTTGAGAAATACAGATGAAATAATATGTCGAGATTGGCTACAAATTACTACTGAAGGGTGGCTGGTGGTGGTCTGGTTGAGCAGGCTGGGAGGACACATGGGCCTTTACCACATTGTTCTACTTTTTTGTGTGTTCCACATGCTCCAGAATCAAGTTTTCAAAAGTCCGTGAACTGAGAGAATGACGGTCACAGCCATCCATCCATGATCTCGAGAGATCCCACGGCATGGGGATCACCAGGCCACTGTGTAGGCAGGAAATGGCTCCACAGAGTGTGAGCCCTCCCAGTGTGGCCCCCTCTGCTCCTACCCCGACTCCCGCAGAGGAGGCACCTGATAAATACATCTCTGTGCATGGAATGAGTACGTGAGATTCATAAACTGGAGGATCATGAAGCCCCTCTCCCCAGCGCCTTCCCTCCCTGTCTCACTCAGGGCTCCCACAGCCCTGCGAGGGAAGTGAGTCTGTCCCCACTGACAGAAGTGGACACGGAAACTGAGGGCCAAGCTGCTTTGCCCACATCTCTCACAGCTCTGTGCTCTCCAGCCCTTGCCCTCCAAACCTTTCCCATCACATCCCCACATAGCTGCCACTGGGAAGTCCTGGGGTCCTGGGACTGTCAGTGGCAAGAAAAAGCTGGATCCCTTAAACAAGGGACAAAACAAAGAAAACCCACACCCACCAGTTCTGGGTGTGTCCCGTGGTGTTTGCCGGGTGGGTGACAAGGGCCCTCAGACAGCTGTCTGGGCTGCACCTGCCCAACTCAGACTGCAGACATAGCAGTGGGTGGGCCCATGGCTTCAGGACACCCCCCTGGGGGCCATCCCTTTGGGGTCCAGATGAGGTCGCTGATGTGGCTGGGGTCCCTCCTCAGGTCCCTGTATGGTCAAGAGTGGCTCCCTGGGATGGGACCTCCAGGAAACCCATGATGCGTCTGGGGCCTAGCCAGGCCGGTGGAGGCGCTCATGGCGCCGAACACTCTTCCTGAAAAGGACTCTTGAGGTGGGGGTTCCTAGAGTTTTCCTCCCGTCACCAGCTGTCGCCCTGCCCGAGCCAGACTCCAAAGAGGGGAGATCTAGGTAGAATCTCAGACGTCAGAGTCGCCGAGAGCCGACAGGGGCTTCGAGGAGGCCTCCTTCCGTGCATACCTGCCCTCCCAGATGTGAGCGCCCCTGGGCCTCGCCCTGGCCGAAAAGCCCTGAAAGCGTGGGGCAGGGCCCCCCCGGAGGCCATGCCCGGTGCAACGCCCCCC